AAGAAAGATAGGGAAAAAGTAATAATGGAAGGGAATAATGGAAGGGAGAGACAAAAAAAGTTAATAACCAACATTCAGTGTGGAATACTACAGTCTTTCATCCTAAGGCCCTTAATGCACACTAGGTGTTTAGTTCCACTGCATGAGGCTGTAATGTTTAGGTGTGGATGGAAGGTACAGGTGCACTGTCCAGCCCTGCTGCCAGCAGAGTGTCAAACTGTATGAGAGACTGACAGTCACTGTGGCTGGACTGTGCACCTAGCGATGCCAATGTTTAGGACATGGCTGACAGTGTGCCTGTGTATTTTAGTCCTGCTTGCACTGCATTGTTATTTATACAGAGAGTTAGCTGCTGCCAGGCTGGGAGGGAAGGGGTTAAATGTGTTCCCAGAGTTTCTGTTTTGGTGGACTTTTTATGGGCCCTTTCCCCCCAAGTGCATATAAAATCAGGAGGGAGCTCTGCCCAGAGAGGTTCCAGCCATGTGGGAAGAAGGCTGACAGCTGCTATATAACTCAGTCCTCCAGCATAGAACCAGCTTGGAGGGGCTCTGTTCATCCCTGCTTCAGCTATCTTCTGTTCATCTGCCCTAACATTGCCTGCCAACATGCCTGGAGCTACTGAGACCTGTAGTCCCACAACACACAGTCTGCTGCATAAGAAGGAAAGACACAGCCAGCAAGATGTGGGAGAACGCTTTGGTTCCTGATTTCAGCAAAGGTGCTACAAACCTGCATCCTGGAGCCTTCCACATGTAGGAAGATTGCTGGGACTTGCAGTCCTTCCAGAAGATACCAACCATGGACGCTTTGTTAAGCAGGTATGCCAAGGCAGCACACAAGCCTGTAGTTAGGGACTAGGGATGTTAGGAAAAGATTGCACTTTATGCTGAACTGCTAGCTTGCGATTCTCATCATGCCAAATTATTCAAGTAACATATTGAAGTGGATGTAAACCTCAGTCATGAGATCCAAACAGAGCACAGCTATCTGTGGTGTTTACTTGTATTTCTCCAAAGCTCTAAGTGTTGTTTCTTTCTGGTGCTTTGCTCCTCTGTTATTAGCATATGTCACTTCTGAAATGTTTTCTGGACACATGAGATAAATTTGTGTTGGGGGAGAGCTCAGCAGACAGCTTGTCTATGTGTGTGGGGTGAGGGGGTCCCTTTCTTCCAATCAGCTCTCACAGAGCTCTAACTGCAGCTCCCTGCCCCCACCTCTGTGATACTGACAAATGCAGAGGGATTTTACCTAAAATCAGCTGTTTTGAAGGGTGAACCAGGGTGGGCAGAGGGAGGGAATCTTCCCACACACAAGTCACTGTAAAAATATAAAATTAACCTACCTTAAAAGTTAGTTTCAGCAAGACACTCGTCATTCACATTCATTAGCATTTTTTCATGTCTGGGGAGTAATTGGTCTCCCTCATAGGTCTGATGCAGGAATACATTATGAAGGCAGAACATATGGTACTCCAGAGTGACTTGCTAGACTATTTTCAGGCCTGGCTGGCCTGAATGTTAGCCTGGCTGTCTGCTCTTAATTCTGGCCAGTGTAAATAGTATGCAATATTATCTTGGTCAGTGTACAGAGGTCAGTAGTAGCTAGGGCAGTGTGCAGAAGCCAGTAGTATGTAGGGCAGTATACAGAGGTCAGAAATATGTAAGGCAGTGTACAGAGGTCAGTAAAGGTTAATAATAGGTAGGGCAGTGTCCAAGGGTTTGTAGTATGTTGGGCAGTGTACAGGGAAAAGCAGAGCAGAAGACGGGGTCAGCAGGGCAGAAGACAGGGGGTAAGCAGGGCAAAGGAATGGGCATCAGCAGGACAGAGAATAAATCATAAGTAGGGTAAAGGGCAGGAGGCAGCAGGGCAGTGTACAGGGTTCAGGAGAGCACAGTTTTTAGGGTCAGGAGGGCATGATACTGGGATGTCAGAAAGGCATGGTACTGGGGGGGGGGGGGGGTCAGGAAGGAACAGTACAAGGGGGCTTAGGAGGGCACGGTACAGGGAGGCTCAGGAGGATACGGTACAGGGGGCCCAGTGGAGTACAGTACAGGGGGCTCAGGAAGGCACACCACAGTGGAGTTCAGGAGGGCATGGTACAGAGTGTCTCAGAAGGGTATGGTACAGGGGGGCTCAGGAGGGCACAGAAGCGGTTTCCTGATGCAGAACAGCACAGGAAAGTTGCTGTGACTTATCTACTTGTTTTGGTGCTCTGATCCCCACCGGCCTTCCTCTCTTGTCCATTCCACTTGATACCATCCACAAGCACCTTGAAAGGATTGGAGAAGAGGGCCAACAGGGATCAATGCAGCACAATTTGAGGATGGGCTCAGGTGTATTCAGACAAAAGCCCAAACCCCTATGAACTATCCTGCCTTCAAAGCCAACAGCAAAACATAGGCAACAGAAGCTTTCCCTGCCCCGCAACCGCGCCTATGCCTACAGGGGCCTACTGCGAGTGGAGAATGCCCCCGCCACCTAGGCCTGGATTTCACAGCTTTCCCAGCCTTAGAGCTCAGGCAGCCAATACACCTGAGCTCATTGTTTCCTTTTTTAGCTCTGGTACTCTGGGGGAGAAGCACTTGCAACAAGGCAGAGACTTGAATGCAATGTACCTGTCTCCTTCTTGTGGTTGACCAGTAGATCGCGATTGAGAGGTGTCCGACCCTGGGTCTAGAATCTGCAAAAAAAAATCACTCCAAGAAAGTGTTCGGGCAGAAAAAACACTAAATGAGCCTTAACGCTAGATGTGTTTCGCACATACGTTTTATATCACTTGACCATCCCTTTTAGATTGTAAGCTCTAATGAGCAGGGCCCTCTGATTCCTCCTGTATTGTACTGTCTGCCTTCATGTAATGTGCTACACAAACTTCTGGCGCTATATACTGTAAATTAATAATGTGTTTCGCGCATGAGTATTCATTCCAATGTCCAGAATGGATTAAAGTGGAGGTCCAGTCAAAGCTACCAAAAAAAGTCAGCAATTACAAAAACTGTAGCTGCTGACTTTTAAAAAACAGACACATACCTGTTCCAAGATCCAGAGGTGTACTCATTGCAGCCAGTTTCACTGGCCGTCCTTGCTCCCCAGTGCTGGCATCTTCAGTGGGGGCTCCAGGCTGTGACAGCTTGCAGCTTCACATCTGGGTGTCCACTACGCATGTGCGAGCAGTGCTGCACCTTGTGAATGGCCCTGTAGTCTTCTGGGACCTGTCACATGTCCCAGAAGACTACTGGGAGGACAACTTCCAGTTCTGATTGCCTAGGTGATCGCAGCAGAAGTGGGAGTGGGTACCTGTCAAAATTGGGTACCCACTCCCCAAAGGTGGCAGTTTCTCACAGGGATCGGGGGACCAGTACTTAAGGCAGAATTTCCCGTTTTGGGTGGAGCTCTAACCACTTGCCTACCTGGCAATTTCACTTTCTTCCTGCCAAGGCCAATTTTCAGCTTTCAGTGCTGTCGCACTTTGAATGACTATTGTGCAGTCATGCAACACTGTGTACATATGACATTTTTATCATTATTTTTTAGACAGATAGAGCTGTCTTTGGTGGTTTTTCTTAGTTTCTAATATAAAATTTTGCAAACAGGTAATTTTTCTCCTTCACTGATGTGCGCTGATGAGGCTGCACTGATATGCAGCACTGATGGGTACTGATGAGGCGGCACTGATGAGGCTGCACTGATAGGCAGCATTGATGGGCACTGATAGGTTGCCCTGATATGCATTGACAAAGAGGCACTGATGAGGCTGCATTGATGTGTAGCACTGATGGGCACCAATAGGCGGTACTGGTAGGTGGCACTGACTGGCAGCACTGATGTTCACTGACTGGTGGCATTGATGGACACTGGCAGTACTGATGCACACTGTTGGTGCTGGGGGCTGCCTCTGAATTTTTATAATACATTTGTTGATCACCGGCTTTCCCCTACAGCCGATAATCAGCAACTGTATATACATTGTGATCAGCTCTGTCATTGGACACAGCCAGGGGCGGACTGATAACTCATGGGGCCCCCAGGCAATAGGGGATAATGGGGCCTCTGTGTCCTCGCCCACACCTAAAAAAAGCCTATGAAAAAGCCAATTAAAGGTACCAGGGGCATCTCATGGGGCCCCCTACTGACCCCGGGCCCTCGGGCAGTGCCTGAATGCTCGAATGGTCAGTCCGCCCCTGCACACAGCTGATGACGTGGTAAAAGGATGCTGTGATTGGTCCTTCACCATGTCATATGATCAGCTGTGTCCGATGGACACAGCGATCACAGAGCTCGCCGGGTGCGTGGTTCTGGAGGACATCATATAATGCCCTCCCAGAACTAGATGGCTGTGCTGTAGCCATCATTCGGCTATAGTCTGGTTGTCAAGTAGTTAATATTCAAGCCAGTGGAATGAGTGAAACGCCTATATGTGCTTGCAAACCGCAACTTTAGGTTTGTTTTTGAAGCTGCTTTCTCCTCTGGAGGAAATGTGGAGGAAAACAAATGTCCTGCATGCACTGTTGCATCTCCTCATGCCTTTGCGTGTACCAAGTTGCCAACTCAACCAATTTATTTGCCATCTTTGTTCACGTAGGTCAGCGGTTAAGCGTGCAGATTTGTTTTTACACAGTAGTTGTAATAAAGCCGAATACCCCTTATATATTACATCGTAAGCGCCTCTGCATTCCACACACATTACTAAACGTCCTAGTTACTGGCACAGTGCCCACATAGAACATGGCGGCAGTCTTTACAACATTCCCTAGGGAGAGGCCAACGCCTCGAGCGTTCCTTACATCCAATAGGAAAGAGACATGCTTGTCCCGCCCAGCCGGCCGTTTTTCCGGACTGCATGAGCCATTTTGCAGTCAGTTATTAGAGTGTGAACGTGAGGAACGGACGGGAGGGGGGAAGTATTCGTTTGGCGGAGATTGTATTGAACGAGCCGTACTGATATTTTCAGCAATATTTCTCGAGACACGTTCTTCCCCCGACGTCTGGTTCCTATTTAGATGGCAAGCTTTCCCGACTTTGTAAACGAAAATGATATAGGTGAGTATATCCTCCTGTGCGCAGCCGTACTAGGCAATCGATGGAGGTGATGAACACTGTCCGACGTCACGTTAGCGGATTTCATTGTAATGCGGCGTGTGAGCGCACTGCTCGGGCTATGCTTAGTGCTGCACGGGAATGGAATGGGGCTGGATGGACACGGCTTCCTCCATGTGTACCTCCAGAATACTGCAAGGTGATTGGTCACTGCACCAACCCTGGGGTTAGACCGAGGAGGCTCATTTATTAAAACTGGAGCACTTAGAATCTGGTGCAGTTGTGCATTGTAGCCAATCAGCTTCTAACCTCAGCTTGTTCCGTTAAGCTTTGACAATAAAACCTGGAAGCTGATTGGTTTCTATACAGAGCTGCTCCAGATCTCACCCTCTCCGGCTTTAGTAAATCAACACCAAGGTGTCTATTCTATACACACAATGCTTTTATACACCATAGATTTAGGTCTGATCAGTAATACAATTGAAAAGATTGATCTACTTTCCTACCATTGGATTGTGCACCTAGGCCACTCAGAATATTTTTTTTTGAGACTGATCAGTGACACAGTATGTGTCTTTGATCCATAGATTTCATCATATTACTCGATTCTGTAAAAAAACAAAAAAATTGTTAGACCACGTCTTCGGGCATATGACTGCCATAACACACACCTGTCGGTAACCACGACGAGCCTCTGCGATCAGACCACAGCTGTGTTGGCAAGCCTGGAGCAGCTGTGCGTGGCAACCAATCATCTTCTGCCTTTTATTTTTGAAGACAGATCGAACAAGCTAAAGATACAAACTGGTTACTTTGCTCTGCTGCTCTAGGCTTAATACATTCCCCCACGTTTATTGGTGCGATGATCTCCAAACATCCACCATCTCGTATGTGTCACCCTAGTATGTATAAGAAGCAAGGATCTAGGCGGTAGATTTGCGTGGGTCATCTCATCAATAAATGGATTCAGTGTGTGCTGACTGGCTGTATGTGTATAATAGCTGGATTAAGTGATCGTTTCTAGGAGATCAGCACAGCTGACAGTAGGTGGGGAATATTAGGTGTCAGAGCTGGTGGGCTGTCAGCTGCCTTCACTTTCTGACCTTCCTGACCTGCACTTTTCAGTAAGTAGGATTAAAGCTGGCTTTACACCAATAAAAATTGCGCTTTTTTTTTTTACATTAGTATACAGGATTTATGTAGCGCCAACAGTTCGCTCAGCGCTTTACAATATAACGGGAGACAATACAGCAACAATACAAGAGGGAAAAGAGGGCCCTGCTCCTTGGAGCTTACATTTGATTTTCTTATGGGAACAAATCGACTACCATTTTTGATTGGACAAGAAAATTAGACGGCTCGGGGATAAAAAAAATGCTTATCTGATTGACAAGACAGGAAAAATAATTGATCTTGCATTTGTATACTGTTGTAAGGATTGGAAAAATGTTAAAGTTCTATACTTTGGAATGGCAATCAAATTACATTCTGAATGAAATGGGCTGACTGCATGTTGGCATCATCAAATGATCTGATGAATATTTCTGAGTCTAACCATGTATGGCCAGCTTAAGTCTCAAAGCTTTAATACAAGAATAAAGATCTTTATTTTTAAATCTCATTGGGATCAGCTGCAGATAATTGCTACTTTATGAAAAGGATTAGCTTTTGGTGTTTTAGATTTGGGACCATTCAATCTGATTTATATCATGTTATTGGTCCTCTAACACAGCGCTTCATTTTATGGCTTTGTTTTTTCTATACATGGTCACACTCCTTATTAATTGCAATCACTATTCTACATCAGGCTAATCATTTTATCACAAGGCTTCTAGTTTTTTTTTTTTTTTTTGTGTGTGTTTTGGTGGACTTTTTTTTTTTTCGTCTTTTACATGCTTGCTTGAGTTAAATTTAGTGTTGACTGTAGCGCCGTCGTCTGAGATGTCATTGTATATGTTATGTTTCCCATGTCAGCACATTCTGTATGTTCCCCCTCCCCCTTTTTTTATGTGGAATTTACTTCACCTATTTCTGCTTCTTGACACTTAGCCAACCAAAGCCCTTCATTCCTACCCTTCCCCCTACCCTCCCTTCTTCTCCCATCCCCCATATGACACACACACACACACACAGGCACGCACTCCCCTCCCTGGACACCACCCTTTCAGAGCTGTAGCACTATCCTGCTGTATGAAGGATGGAAATTGCTGCGTTGGTCATCGTGCCATTTAGTTTGATGTTCTTTTTCTTAATGATTGTTTAATGGATCCTGTCGTACCACATTAAATATCTGAACTTCTTTTCTTCATACCTTAGTTTGAGTTTCGCCTTGTTGCTTTTGTCTCAATGGAATTAGAGTTGAGCTCCAAGTATGATCCTTATTGTATATTATTATTATATAGTGCCAACGGTTTGCGTAGTGCTGTACATTATAATGGGAATAGTTGCATTGCTTTAGCTTGGCACAGTGCAAGTCTGAGTATCTCATACCTGAGAGATTGCAGTGAATGGTGACAATAACTGTAGTAAGGGGTGCTACTACAGTGATGACCTCAATCTTCCAGGATCTTTGCCAAGCGGCTGCCCTACTGCACACTGACTACATGGGATCACTCGCTTGGCACTGTTGCTATTACCTGCATACCCTTTTTTATTGATATGAAGTGTTTGCTGATTGGATGATGTCGGGTTCATGATGTCACTACCCTACCTCGTCAAATCAGAGAACTCTTTGTATTAATAAAAAAAAATATGTGTTCTGTGAATGACAGCAGTGCCAAGCGAGTGTCCCCCTGTTATTACTATGCAGAAAGGCAGCTGCTCAGCACTGGACACAGAACACTGTGGTCACCGTAGTAGCACCAACTACAACAGTGATTTGCAAGTTCCACAGTAATCACAACAGTTGGGATGAGAAACACCATCATAGTTTGTATTAACCTGAATCTCTAAGCATGCAACAAATATATAGACTTCATTTATTTTCTTTTGACTTATAAGTAAACATTTCACTAAATATCTATGATCTCTTTTCAGCAAGATCACGGGCCATTGGGGAACTTATATCACCGACTTCTCCATTTGAACAGAAGTATGGCCGTGAAAACTGGACAGTGGCTTTTGCTCCAGATGGCTCTTATTTTGCTTGGTCTCAGGGTCATCGAATTGTGAAACTGGTTCCTTGGTCTCAGTGCCTTAAGAATTTGTAAGTTTTTTTCCTTTTTTTTTTTTTTTTTTTTTTTTATAATGCGATTAGTTTCTGTGCAAAATTTAAATGCATATAGACCCCTTAATTGGGACCCTTATAGCCCAACTCTAAGAAAATTAAACACACTGCATATTACCCCCCTTCAAGGGTTAAATGCTTGTTTAGCCTAGGGGCAGAGTACTAATGCTGCCTTCACACTGATCTGCTTTTGCGTTTACAAAAAGCTGAAGAAAAACATGTGACCATGTAATCCTATGGAACTCTTCCCACACTGATTTGTTGCAGGTCTGCTGCATTTAGTAAAATCCTGCTTACTGCATTTTTGGTGTGGTAAAAAAAAAACGCACCAAAAGTGCACCTCCCCATTGAAATTCACGGAAGACGCATAAAAAACTGCAAGAGTGGATTTTTTAAAATTTTCTTGGAGTTGGGATTTAAAGTGTAAATGGTGTAAAAGTGCAGCCAATCAGATTGTATCTTTTATCTTTTTTCATAAACTAGTGTAAGGGAACGTTATTTACTAAGTTTCTATTAGATTAGTGCCTGATAATGTTCTTAAACAGAGGATGGTCAGTTTCACTAAACAATAAATTTATTATTAGCCGTTACCTAGCGGCAAAACATTATTGGTCAAAATTATGGCTAATTTATTGAGTAAGTTTAGGTTGTAAACTGAGAGTATATCTCTATTTTATGTTCACGAAATATGCATGCAATGGTGGGAGGCATTTAATTTTTTGTAACCGGAAATGTGCAGTGTGTACAGAAAGTTTATTATTTCCATATGGGATGGGGGGAGGAAAAAAAAAATTCTGTCTAATGGACAGTGGCAGAAACATCTCTCAAGACAGATCTCTCTTTTGAGCAATCTCCTTAAATGTCTGAAATTTAAAATAAATATCCTTTTCTGTTTGCCCTCTTATGTCAATGGGTAGTTTTTAGTAGTGTGAAAATATAAAACTTGCAACTTTCTATGATACTGTGTGATGAATTAATGCGGCACATCAATCGTGGACAGTTGTCAGTACCTCTTCACACAAAGCTGTACTTCAACAGGGAAAGTAGTATACGTGGCTCTTTTCCATCATTGTTGTATTGACAGAATGCTTATAATATGAGAAATGTCAACTTGAGTTCCTATGTGTTCTAGGGGAGGAGTACATAGGGGCAGTCCTTTAAAGATCTTCTGCTTTCACAAGAGGCTTTCCCCACGTCCTGTTAAACTGTAGCTGAACTTGTTAAAGTGTATATGTAGTCAAAACCCAACTTTACAGTTTTGAATAGAATAGAGAAGGATTAAAAAGTTTTTTTGACTATAGTTGAGTTGAAATATGCTTTCATAATATGTTGTTGCTATATTATGACAAGCTGGTAGTTCTGTTGGTTCTATGTGCACAACATATCAGTTGACTCACAGTTTAGAATGAGAGTGCTTCTCAAAGTCATTAAGATAAACACAGTGTTTGTTTCCTGGGGGCAAAAGGCAGATTTGTGTAGATGTGTAATGTGACCTTGAGCTATGCTTTCATTCATCAGTGTTTTTTACTTTTTCAGTGCTGCTGGCAATACAAACAAAAATAGTGTTAACTTGACAAATACAAGGTTGTCACGACAGAACAGTGATGTAGCACAGAGAAACAAACCACAGGAGCATACCATAGACTGTGGGGATATCGTGTGGAGCCTGGCTTTTGGATCCTCGGTGCCAGAAAAGCAGAGTCGTTGTGTGAATATAGAATGGCACCGCTTCAAATTTGGTCAGGACCAACTTCTCCTTGCCACCGGGCTGGGCAATGGGCGAATCAAGATCTGGGATGTTTATACAGGTACCCCGAGTTCCTTGTATCCTCCATAGATGTTTTTTCTATATACTGCAAATTCAGTAGTAAAACTTGTATTGCTGGTATATGTATGAGAGTTGTCACATCACTCTTTTATGGCTTATAACAGCACCTAGTGAAAGACTCTATGCAGTGTTTCACAGTCTTAACTTGGACCTGAGAGGCACATCCTGAACTGCAGTGTATTTGAGCTGTCCTCTTTCTTCTCTTGTAGAACATATCACTTCTATAAGTCATTTAATTTGCATGACCTATCTTATCTGGCAGTAAATCCCGATTGTTGCTGGTTTATAATTATCTAACAGGAAATATGGATCATGTGACACTGTGTGCACCAGCAATTCGTTTTGAAGAATTCCTGTGTTGTCACGAAAAGTTGAAATTTGCCACACATTTAAATTGCAACCAAAAAGCATTTTTTTTACATATTAACGTTATTTGTGGTCCACATGCTTCTTTCATGGGAATCTGATCATATTTAAAGACATTGCTCAACAAAACAAAAATTTCTACAATCGAGCTATTGTAATCCTCCTTGTGTGTTTTGTGGTTTTTGTTTTTGTTTTTTTTCCTTTTACCCTGTGACTCACTTACCACAGGCATGATGTCATGGGTAGCTGATTCTTGTGACCATTATGTCATCCTGTTCAGTCACCTATGGATCACCAGCTATGATTAATGCATGATTAGTGCAGCTCCAACCAAAGCTTACAAATCTCATAGAACTTCTTAGCTTTAAATTGCTGTTTTGAGGTTTGTTTTTCTTGCTGGAGAGCTTTTTCCTTTTATAGACAGTGTTGTCCTGAACGCATTAAGTGGAAATTGTCCCAAGATGGCAGATTGCAATTAAAAACCCTTTCTCATTCTATCCCCAAACATTTTCCATAGTACTCTCAGAATTTCTTGCTTTTTTTTTTTTTTTTTTTGCATTTAACATAATATAGCGAAGGACTCTTCTAGGAATTATGTATGCAGAGCGTTTACAGCAGTGGTTCTTAACCTGGGTTCGATCGAACCCCAGGGGTTCGGTGAGTCAGTCTCGGGGGTTCGGCGGAGGTGACCCACACCCGACTCATATGATTTGTGATGACATGCCCCGCTTGTCCATCATTGGCTGCAGGTGGTCACGCAACATGTGTGCCGGGCGCCCGCTCCCCTCCCTCCTCTCGGGCGGCAGGGACTCAAATGCAATGATTGGCCAGTCTCGCTGCCACTCACATCCTGATAGCCAGTGCCAGTGATGGCTGTCAGGATGTGTGTAGGCGGGGCAGCGTGACGAACGTGAGAGGAGCTAGGCTCCTCTCACAGTCCGCCCTGAAGACCGGAACGGCGCGCGAATACAGCGAGAGGAACGCGTGGAGCAAAGGTAAGTGAATTGACACAGGGGGGACTTGGGGACTTAATATGGGGAATGAATTACTATAGGGGGGATGAATTACTATATGGGGGATGAATTACTATATGGGGGGATGAATTACTATATGGGGGATGAATTACTATATGGGGGATGAATTACTATATGGGGGATGTATTACTATATGGGGGATGTATTACTATATGGGGGGATGAATTACTATATGGGGGGAGGAATTACTATATGGGGGGAGGAATTACTATATGGGGGGAGGAATTACTATATGGGGGGATGGATTACTATATGGGGGGATGAATTACTATATGGGGGGATGAATTACTATATGGGGGATGAATTTTCATACCGTTTGTTACAACATATCTTTGCGAGCAATCCTTTTCGAGGATGCTGGACATAAAGACGAAGAAAAGGAACAGACTTTGTTGCGAAAATGACATGAGAGTGGCACTTGCCAAGGTAATGCCGCGCATTTCTGAACTGGCCTCTGAAAGACAACAGCAGAAGTCACACTGATTTGCGGTAAATATTCATTATTTTGTTTTTGTGTGAAAATCATGTTTTAATGGTTTTGTTCTTAATGGTTTTGTTCATTTTGTGCACCTATGTATAAATATATACCTATGTTTTGAATTTTAAAAATCATATTTTATTTTTCCAATTAAGAAGGGTTCGGTGAATGCGCATATGAAACTGGTGGGGTTCAGTACCTCCAAAAAGGTTAAGAACCACTGGCTTACAGTATAAAGCAGGAGTCCCCAAACTTTTCAAAGGGTCTGTTTACTGTTCTTTAGACTAAGGGGTGCTGGATTTTGGCCAGCTGAGGTAGGAAATGTCCTGGGTGCAGCATCAGTGAGAATAAACATGGCCTCAGGGTTGGTGATCAATAGGAGGCGGAATAGTGCCCCATCATTTGGTATTGGTGGAAGGAATTCTACACCAAATGGCCGCAGTTTGGAGACCCTTAGTATAAAGGCAAAAAACGTTTTGGGATGGAATAAAGGAGGGTTAGAACACCAAGTTTCTTCTCTGTCTGCGTCCTTGTTAGGGAGATTCACCCTATTTGTCCTGTGTTACTGTTATCCTCAAAAGTGACAGTATATAAAATTCCTTACGTTTGTGTGTCACCAGAGCAGAAATAGAGGGGGAAGTCTTCCAATGGGGACATTAGTTCTGGGGACCCTGTTGATAACTAAGGATTCCCTAATTTTTGAGGGATTTCCTCTCACTTCTTGTTATGGCTATGAAACCGGACGTAAGGGAAAGGGGAGACATGACTGAAACCTTTTAAATACATCAAGGGGGTGAATATGGTTCAAGAGGGCAGGATTTTCAATATGAAACCAAGATCAAGAACACTGGAGCATGACATCAAACTAACTGAAGGAAAAAAACTAATTGATGCTTGGAATAGACTTCTAGCAGCGGTAGCGAGTGAGTCAACAGTAAATGGATTCAAACATGGAAAAAATCATATATTATATTTACTGGGGAGACGCAGATGGCCAAAAGAAAAGCTGTCAAGGGCCTTTCCTTACTTTACTCTTTGGCAGTGTATGTCAGGAATGGAATAGCTTCAAGGAACCCAGGGAGAGATTAAAACTGTATGTTTCCCTCATACACTGAATGAAGAACTCAAAGTAAATAGGCTGCCTGCAATATAATCCTAGACCAACAGTGCTGTCCTCTGTGTGACTGTTTTCTCGATACAGCAGTGATCTCCAAACGGGCCGGATGCGGCCCTTTGCTTCCCTTTATCTGGCTCTCGGGGCAGTATTCCTTCCACTGACACCTACAGTGGTGCATAATTCCTTCATTGACACAAACTACAGTCAGGTCCATAAATATTGGGACATCGACACAATTCTAACATTTTTGGCTCTATACACCACCACAATGGATTTGAAATGAAACGAACAAGATGTGCTTTAACTGCAGACTGTCAGCTTTAATTTGAGGGTATTTACATCCAAATCAGGTGAACGGTATAGGAATTACAACAGTTTGCATATGTGCCTCCCACTTGTTAAGGGACCAAAAGTAATGGGACAGAATCGTAATCATAAATCATACTTTCACTTTTTAATACTTGGTTGCAAATCCTTTGCAGTCAATTACAGCCTGAAGTCTGGAACGCATAGACATCACCAGAAACTGGGTTTCATCCCTGGTGATGCTCTGCCAGGCCTCTACTTGAACTGTCTTCAGTTCCTGCTTGTTCTTGGGGCATTTTCCCTTCAGTTTTGTCTTCAGCAAGTGAAATGCATGCTCAATCGGATTCAGGTCAGGTGATTGACTTGGCCATTGCATAACATTCCACTTCTTTCCCTTAAAAAACTCTTTGGTTGCTTTTGCAGTATGCTTTGGGTCATTGTCCATCTGCACTGTATAGCGGCGTCCAATGAGTTCTGAATCATTTGGCTGAATATGAGCAGATAATATTGCCCGAAACACTTCAGAATTCATCCTGCTGCTTTTGTCAGCAGTCACATCATCAATAAATACAAAAGAACCAGTTCCATTGGCAGCCATACATGCCTACACCATGACACTACCACCACCATGCTTCACTGATGAGGTAGTATGCTGAGGATCATGAGCAGTTCCTTTCCTTCTCCATACTCTTCTCTTCCCATCACTCTGGTACAAGTTGATCTTGGTCTCATCTGTCCATAGGATGTTGTTCCAGAACTGTGAAGGCTTTTTTACATGTCGTTTGGCAAACTCTAATCTGGCTTTCCTGTTTTTGAGGCTCACCAATGGTTTACATCTTGTGGAGAACCCTCTGTATTCACTCTGGTGAAGTCTTCTCTTGATTGTTGACTTTGACACACATACACCTACCTCCTGGAGAGTGTTCTTGATCTGGCCAACTGTTGTGAAGGGTGTTTTCTTCACCAGGGAAAGAATTCTTCTGTCATCCACCACAGTTGTTTTCCGTGGTCTTCTGGGTCTTTTGGTGTTGCTGAGCTCACCGGTATGTTCCTTCTTTTTAAGAATGTTCCAAACAGTTGTTTTGGCCACGCCTAATGTTTTTGCTATCTCTCTGATGGGTTTGTTTTGTTTTTATAGCCTAACGATGGCTTGCTTCACTGATAGTGACAGCTCTTTGGATCTCATCTTGAGAGTTGACAGCAACAGATTCCAAATGCAAATAGCACACTTGAAATGAACTCTGGACCTTTTATCTGCTCATTGTAATTGGGATAATGAGGGAATAACACACACCTGACCATGGAACAGCTGAGAAGCCAATTGTCCCATTACTTTTAATCCCTTAACAAGTGGGAGGCACATATGCAAACTGTTGTAATTCCTACACCGTTCACCTGATTTGGATGTAAATACCCTCAAATTAAAGCTGACAGTCTGCAGTTAAAGCACATCTTGTTCGTTTAATTTCAAATCCATTGTGGTGGTGTATAGAGCCAAAAATGTTAGAATTGTGTCGATGTCCCAATATTTATGGACCTGACTGTATATTGCCCTATATTTCCCACTGACAGCACCAAAGAGGCACTATTCCTATCGCCCAACGCATTACATTCAATCTACTAACACTGACATACAAAGCCATTCACAACGCTGCTCCAAACTACCTCACCGACCTGAT